AGGAAGGATCTAAAGCGGTATCACTAGCAGCAGAAGGTTCGAGTTGATTTGAAGAAGTTGGGGCAGTCACCGTACCCATATCATCTACAATATGTTCAGGAGTATCAGCCTTGGGAGAATGAAAATCTTGGCCTTGCTGAGTTTTTTCAATGGTCTCCTTTATCTTGTCTAACTCAACATCCAAGTTGAAACCCTCTTGGCTAGCCTCCACAACGGTATCATGGCGAGTGTTTAAAATAGCCCAACTCACTTCAATGGCAGTCTTGTCCTCAAGAATCTCATAATCTCTTTCCTATTGATCAATCTTGTCTTTAAACTTTTCATTCTCGGCCAAAGAAGTATCATAAGAAGATTGCAGAGGGGCAAGTGAACTTTCTAAAAATCTGACCTTATCAGAAGATTCACGGAGATCTTCTTGGGTATGGGTAAGTGTTTGCACAAGTTCACCGGCGTAGGCCTCTTTCTCGCTTAGCAATGCCTTCAACCCTCTAATATCTTCACTAGCTTTGGAGAGTTGCTCAGAAAATGATGTCTCGAGGAGATTTTTGTCCTTGCCAGCTTGATCTGAGGAAGCCTTCTCAATTGCTAACTCTGAAGTCAAAGCCTTCAACTACTGCTCTAAGGTGCACTTGCTTTCTTCTAACACTTCCATATCAATTTGAAGGCTTTCATATTGTTCTTTCCAGTTGTCTGCTTCAATCTGATAGTCATGCATTAACTGCTCCGTATGAGAAACCCTCTTCATCATCTCTGTGCCGATAAGATTGATCTAAAAAAAATGGTAAGAACCTTAATAAAAGAAAGATGGAATAAAGAGTAAAAAGAAAAAAACACCTTTAATGATGATTGCATTATGTCATTCATCCAAGTCAAAGAGCTATGACTCTCGAGCTTGGATTTCTCAACTGGACCGGTCAGAGGTTTCAACCATACGTCAGCCCGACCTGACTTTTTCAAAAGATTAGCATCGGCAGGAACCTCAATGGTAATCTGTTTCATCGTTCCACTTCCACTCGAAGAACCAACCTCAGTACGAGGAATGGTAGTAGAAGGAACTGTAGAAGAAGTCATCATAATTTGGGGCAGAGCAGTAACGGCAGCGGTCACAACTGGTAAAGAACGAGCCACAGGGATAGGCATGGTAAAGGAGGCAAGGGGTACTTCATCGGAAACCAAATCCAAATTTTCACTATCAAACCCACGAGAAAAAAGCTGATCAACAGAGTCACGAGCTGTCGCAGGAGTATCATCATCAGAGCTCACCAAGGTGGCTTCAACAGCCTTGGTTATGGGAACAGAACGGGGAGGAGTCACTTCATCATCTGAAAAGACGCGTCTTCTGGCTCGCGACCTTTTTATCAAGGAACCTCCATCCCGTTCCTCCTCTTCTTCGGAATCTTGGACTGCTACAGCCTTCCTTTTTGATGAAGAACTCAAAATTATCTCTTGAGCTCTCTCCAAAGAAACTCTGGAAGCCGGGACTGCTTCAGCACTAACACCACGAATGGGAAATCCTGATAAAAAGAAGGATCAAATAAGTTCTAAAGGAAAGATGAAGGAAAAGGTGAAAAAGAAAAGAGTAAAACATTTACCATGAGTTTTAACCTTCCAACCAAACCTGTGCGAAAGGTTTTTCCAAGATCTACCTTCCATTGGAGCAACTTTCAATAACTTTTCTACCCAACCACGAAAATTGAGAATCTCATCAACAATTCCCATGGTTGCTGGAAAAAAGAAAAAAGTTAAACAGTAGCGGGAAAAATAAAGGGGAAAGATAGAGAAAGTTATAAAAAAAAACTCACGTGCAAAATTCCACTTTTCAGGAAATGGAACATTCTCTTCGCCCACTAAACCAATAGTGGGGGCAGCAACAAACCTGGCATACCAGCCACGGTCCTTATCATCTTCTGGGCTAACTAACAATTTTTTACTTTTCGCAACTAAAGTGAAAATCCCATGACGGAAAAGCTTCGGACAGTAGAGATGAATCAAATGGAAAAAAGTAAAAGGCAAGTTAGCCAACCTTGTTAAATGTCTTAAGCAAGCAACAACCCTCCACACAATGGGGCCAATCTATCCTAGACAAACGTCAAAAAAATGACAAAATTCAATGATAACAGGATCGATGGGTGGTTTAAAATTCAGTGTAAAGGAATACGTATACACAAAAGAAAACCCGGTCAAGTAAGATGTAATTCTTTGGTTCGCATTAGGAATTATAATAGGGAAATCAGGTCTCCAATGGCAATCCTTACGAACAACAGAGATCAGACCTTCAGTGATTTGAGAAGGATAAATGTCTGCACGATCTAAAGAAGACATAGAAGAAACTTGGTTTCTAATCGATTCTCTATCAGTATAAAAAGATAGTTCAGCAGGGACAATTTCATCCACTAAAGGCTCACGAACGGGTTCATTAGAATCTTTATTTCTAGATGAAGGTCTATGGGAAAGAGAACCCCTAGTTCTAGAAGGAGGAGTAGAACTCACTGAAGGAATAGAAACACCTCTTACAGATGAAGACCCTTAACTACGCAATCTTCCTCCTCTTCTACTTCTAACGGGAGCAAGAGGAAGATTATCAACAATGGAGACTCTTCGAGGGTTAGGGTTTGAAGAAGACATAGCAGCATGAGGAAGAAGAAAACAAGAATGAATTTTCTAAGATATGAAACTTTTTATGAGAAAGACAAAGACAAAAGCTATATTTATACTCAGAAGCAAGCGTCAAAGAAAAGGTGTAATGATGGAAACGTCGTGATGGAAACTGTCGCTTCGTAATTGGTGAAGCCGCAAAAAAGCCCTAAAAGACGCTGAAATTTTGCAGAACCAATCAGAAGATGCCACGCGTCACGAGCATTAAATGGAAGTGACACATAAAGCATCAATTCAAGAGAAGGTATAATGGCGGCAAAAATTCCCGCTTTAATGAGTTCCACTTCCAAATATTCAATTGATGAATAAATGGCAAGTGGGGGGACTATCTGTATTGGAAAAAATTAAATTAATATATTGAATTAATTATGTGGTGACATATCATGACACGTGGATTGGTAAAGGAATGTCAGTTGGTGAAGAATAGATGAAGAGGCACGAACTTTAGCAGGCACGGGCAAAAATCCAAGAAAGCCAAAAGGGATAGGTGCTCGAACCTCTTGATATTCAGAAGAGGCATCAGAAGAGTGAACCTAAATAGCAAAAGGGGTATAGATACGTATTATTGGAAATTAATAGGCATTAATTACAGAAAACGTTACAGAATCTGTATTAAATCAGTTACGATTGCCAATTATAACGTTACATTAAATGCCATTAATTGTCCATAAAAACTCAATTATGAAAAGAGAAAAACGTATTACTTAGAAATAGCTATAAAAGGCGAAGAATGAACATTTGTAACGGCACGAAATACTATTGGAATACACTGATTTATTTTGCTTTCTATTCAGCTATTATTTCCATCAATTATTCCTATTTCTACTTGATTATCAGTAACCCGAGTTTTTCGAAAATAAGCTTTGACCGAAATCCCAATTTTTGGTTAAACAATTGTGCCTTTCAATTAAGCAGCTATTAGCTTTTGACAGAGTTGAAGTATACTAAGTTTTACTAACTGTTTAACTCTTAAACTGCTTTTTTGCTTTGTTATTGATGTAATCAGGCAATATTGACCTTTTAGCTTAGGTGTTGTTTTTAATGCCTTAGAAACAAAAACAAAACAAAAAGTCCTGCTGTAGCCCCCCCCTGTAGTAATGGAGGACAGACTTAGCCAATTGCCAATGACATTCTTGTATCAATTATTTCTAAGTTGACATTGAGAGAAGCAGTGCTCACAAGTTGTCTTTCAAGTCGATGGCGCTATATTTGGACACGTGTCACATGTCTCAACTTTAACCTTCCGATGGAGGACTGGGATGAAACAGAGTTTTGCAGAAAGGAAACGCTAAGCCATATCAATTGGGTTAATCATGTCTTGAGTTTGCACAAGAATTCACTGTCTTTTCTCTTTTTCATAGCAGTTTTCAATGTGAAGTTGATAAGTTGCTGGAATTTGCATTATCAACAAAAATCCAAAGCCTTAAGATAGAATTGGTACCCTCTAGAATGGCCAGATTGCAGATACATCCAACCTTGTTTGGATTTGAAGAATTTCCAGGAATACTTGTCGTCCTCGCCAATCTTTGAATTTAAGAATCTCATAGTGCTGAATTTAGGTGGTGTTAATGTGGACAATCAAGTGGTCAATATTTTCCTCTCGAGCTGCCCCCTTCTTGAACAGTTATCTATAAGAGAATCTCAGGTATTAAAACATCTGGAAGTCGGTCCTTCCCTCAAGTTGAAGCATTTGGAAATATATGAATGTGATATAGATTCTCTGGAGATCTGTAATGCCAATATTGCCTCTTTCTGTTTCTATGGAATGGAGAAAACAAACTTGCTTCTAGAGAATGTTACTTCGGTTGTTAATCTTCAGATTGAGATTTTTCGTCGATCGTTGCCTAGACTCATTGGATTGATTACAATGAAATTCACTCAACTGGTGAAGCTTTCACTTGAAGTAGATACTTGCCAATATAAGGTAAGCAATTTTCCCCTATCACGGGTTCGAGCCGTAGAAACAGCCTCTTGCAAAAATGTAGAGTAAGGCTGCGTACAATAAACCCTTATGGTCCGACTCTTCCCCGGACCTCCCGCATAGCGGGAGCTTAGTGCACCGGTTGTCCTTTATAAAGAACAACAAAAAGTTCTAGTGTCTTTTTTTCACACTTCTTTCTGCTGATTTTATCTTTTTCAGGGTCTTGCCGAGTTCCTTAGAGAGAGTTGTCTCGCGCCCCTAGGTATTCTCTACCTACCCACCTGTGTCGGTTTCGGGTACAGGTACCCTCTTGCTCAAAGTCGTTCGAGCTTTTCCTGGGAGTATGGCATGGGTTACTTCAGCGCCGTAGCGCCTGGTATTCGAACATTGGCTCGAGGCATTTTCTCTACCCCTTCTTACCCTGATTTTTATCATTCTTTTCCAAAATTCAACAATCTCAAATGGCTTATACTGATTGTTAATGGCGCTACCGATTATGGCAGTCTACTTAAAGTTACTCCACTTCTGCAGGCCTCTCCGTACCTGCAAATGTTCGAGATCAAGGTATATAGAGGTGTTTATTCTTTTTGAATATGTCACCCTTTTTTTTGCTTATCCATTTCAAAGGCTGGACAATTTTCATGCAAAAGAAAAACCATCATCTTTTCCTTTTTGTAGCCTTATCATATCTATCATCATGTCTTGCTTGCTTATGTACTTCTCAGTGGAAACTAATATTGGATGTTTCCCTCAAATATCAACTTTTGATTCACATTTTAAATGAACCAATTACTCCACTATATTTCAGAGTATAATTGTATTATCTTTTTTGCTTTTTCAGATTACGTGGAGTAATACACAGATCTATATTCGTTCTGCATCTATTATTTCTTATGGACCTATTCGGAAGCTAAGTTGGCAAAATCCATATCCACATCTCAAAGTGGTCAGATATGAAGGTTATCTCAGGCTCAGCTGATAATGAGTTTATAACTTACCTTGTTGAAAAATCTTTAGCACTTGAGAAATTCATCATTACTCCTTGCGATCATTCATCATATTTCAAACCACAAATACAGGGTTTAGGACAAACCTACTGGGTTCGGCCGAACCCATAAGTTGCCTTCAAGCTCCACCCCTGAATATAATGCTCCCTCCATCTCAAATTACGGATGAACTCCAGAGGCTGCTGGATGGCTGGTCTTTAACAAAATATGAGCTAAGCAGCTTCAGGTAGGCCTATCTCATACTTCCAGCAGAACATGAGCACCTTGGATCCCGACCAGTAAGCATCTTTGCATTGTCAACTTTTGACAGGTGTTTTCAACGATTCCTGGAAGGTAACATCCAACTTGGCCCCAACATATGCAGGGATTTGTCATTACGCAATGGTATAAGATACATGCAGTGTTCTTTTAGTAGACAACCATCTCTGCCTCTCTTCAGCTGACTTACATGTTGTAACGATCCGACTGGTCGTTTTGCTTTCTAGAACCCCGCTCCCCTAAATAAGATTTTTCGTACTTGCTTTCACTGATTTATGACTTGCGGGGATGGTTGGTTCGAGATATGGAAGAGTTTGAGTTGAAATCGGAACACTTGGTTCCTTAAGGTTGGCTTAAAAGGCCAAGTTTGACTTTGGTCAACGTTTTGAGTAAACGACCTCGGAATCCGGATTTGAAGGTTCCGACAGGTTGGTATGACGCTTTTGGACTTGGGCGTATGTCCGGATCGGGTTTTGGATGACCCGGGAGCGTTTTGACGCCTAATAATGAAAGTTGGTTCCTTAAGGATTTTGAAGTTCTTAAATATTTGGTTTGGAGCGGGTTTTGCGTTATCGAGGAACGGAATTCCGAGACCGGGAATAGTTCCGCATTGTCATTTAAGACTCGCACGCAAAATTTAGTGTCAATCCGAGTAGTATAAGCGTGTTTCGTCGCATTGGGTGTGAATTGAAGAACTTGAAGTTCATAAGTTTGATTCAATTGGTTTAGGGGTGATTCTTAGATTTAGCGTTGTCTCGGGCGTTCCGAGGCTTCGAGCGAATCCGTTTTATGATTTCAAACTTGTCGATATGTTCGGGCAGGGCCCCGGGGGGCCCGAGCGTCAATCGGACGAGGCTCGAGTTGAGTTAGAAAAATTGGAAAGAGCTGAAGCTACAGGTTGTTGTCATAACCGCACCTGCGATTGGCCAGCCGCAGGTGCGAGACCGCAGGAGCAGTCAACCCTTCACAGGTGCGGCCCTATGGGAGGAGCCCAGGAACCGCAGATGCGGCTCCTTTTCCGCAGAAGCGGCCCCAGGCCGCAGATGCGGCCCCCAGCCAGCCCAAGAAAAGTCCGCAGATGCGGACACTCCCTCGCAGAAGCGAGATCGCGGATGCGGTCCTCTAACTGCAGGTGCGGAAATCGCAGAAAGCAGTGCCGTCATTTAATACGGAAAATGTGTCATTTTTTTGACACATTTCATTCAATTGTTGGGCGATTTGGGAGCTTCCAAAGAGGGTATTTCGGCCTAGCATTGTGAGGTAAGTTATTTCTACTTAATGTGAGTTTAATACTTGGTTTTTGGGTAGACTAACACACCAATATTAGTGATATTCATGGGATTAGAGTAAAACCTAGGGTTTTGATAAAGACAAGATTTAACCACGAAATTTGTTATGGAATGGAGTAAAAATCATATATTATTGATCCTTAGGTTACGGGTAACAACTTTCTTCAAATATTTCCGGAATACGGGCACGTGGGCCCGGGGAGGAATTTTAGGAATCTTGCCTTGGGGTTGGATAATCACTTTAATAGTTAGAATATGAACTTTTAAGCCTATAATGATTGGTTTTTACACTATTTGAATAGTTTCGGATTGTGCGGCTCCGGTTTGAGGGTTTGAGAGCATTCTTGAGTTGGAAGTAGGCTCGAAACGAGGTAAGTCTCCTTTCTAACCTTGTAAGAGGAAAATTTCCCCATAGGTGAACTTAACTAATATGTGATTTAATTGTGGGGGCTACATACGCACGAAGTGACGAGAGTCCATACGTAGCTACTATTCCTGTTATGTCCGGGTAGTTCTAGGCTTACACCATGCTTTGTAGGTATTGTTATATGATTTTAAATTGTTGAATTGCATTGACTGAAACTTCGTTGAGAATGTCATGATTTCAAGGATTTCAAGTAAATAATTATTTTGAAAAGAATTAAGGAAACTGTTATAAATAGAATTGTATTTATGGTGAATGTCTATATTTAGAGAGATTCTAGGGTTTATTACTTAGTGGCTAAGTCACCCTCTCCCTATAAATAGAGGGTTCTATTCTATTGTAATTCATCCCCAATCAATAAGAATTCTCCCTCCCTACTTTTCTCTGCAATACTATTCTTCTTGTTTAATAAGTTAATAACACGTTATCAGCACAAGATTCTAACCAATTGAGTAGAGGGCGGTTGTTTTAATTTATGGATATACTATTAAATAGTTGTCTAATGTACGAGAAATTAAACCACACATGGAATATATAGGCTTAATTCGGACAGTAGCTGAATCTGCAATTCCATGCTTGCTAATCTCATTATGCTCGAGATTACTTCTGTTACCCGTAGTTCCAATGCTTATTGCAGAACTCTCTCTTTGCCTTGGAATGCCAGTCTTAAATTTCGGAGGACGTTCATGAAGAAAATTACACTTATCTCCATAAGGACACTCCTCCCCGTTATAAAACTTCTTGTAAATTTTCATCCTATATGTATTATTTTCTGATCATCATTCCAGTTTCCTACTACCCCTCTATCCTTTTCACGGACTAGTTCCTGGCAATTCGGAGGGGCTCACGCAAATCTTCGACACTATGGCTTTGGATACATGCATGATGCTCAATTTTTACATAATATTGAGCATAATGATTGTCAGTTGTCCCATGAACTTTCTTCTGGATTTAAGGTAAGTATTTTACTTTATTTTTTCTTTTAAATTCTTGAAATTCTATAATTTGATTTTAAATACAAGCAAAGACAACAAAGTTTGATTATAACTCTAATGGAGTTTGTAAGAAATTATATCCACAAGTGGTAAAATTTCTTTGTCTTGCCATGATCAAATTCATGTATGATTATGAGCACAAGAAGTGAAAACCCGTCCCATTGAATTTGCTCCATTCTCATTCCCTTAAGCGAATGTGATAGCAATATGTGATAAGTTTGAAAGAAGACAAAATTATTACCGTGAAGGTATCAATGGATGTGGACGTGGCAATAGACGAAATTATAATCGTCATCATTGTGATAATGAGAATAATAAGGATTCTCAAAATAATCTTTCACTCTGTGAAAAATATTTGTCATCGATTTGACATGAGATTTTGTAAAGCACATATAGATGATTATGGTCTATTCATGATGTGAATGTGACAACATCTGATTTATGAATACATATTCATTCTTCAAAGAATATGAACGTGCTAGTGGTAGTGAATATACCGCACTCACCTCTAAAAGACGGTTTGAGATGATATAAGAAAATAATGTCATTATTATGGTATGAATGGTCATTGGTCACGTACCTATTGTACGCTAAAATATTTTGGTATTGTGATTATTAAAGAATAACATTAATGCAAGAAACATATCTTGCATACAATTTTGACCATAACCATAATTGTATAACTTTCTCTTTAAAAGAGATATTCACCATATGGATGTTGATGAGTGGTAGTACCAAATTAATTGAGAGCTCTGGAAGAGCCAATTATTACTATTTTGGAGGAATAAAATTGATTATCAATAAGGCATTGTGTTGTAGTAAGTCTCAAAGAAACTTAGTTTCTAAAGTATTCGCGAAAGCGGTTGGTCATACTGAGATAAAGAAAAGGTTTAATATCTTCTATTACTACAATTTGTAGCGGGGTAATATGTATGTGAAAAGCTACCCGTTTTATTCTTCGGTTTATACTACACAAACAAAAAAATGCCACAATAAAGTAGAAGTTTATTGATATAAAAACTCATATCATAATAAACTTGGAGTTTATCGATAATTGCACAGGTCATGGTGTAAACCTAGTCTTTATCAATATTGAAAAATTTATCCAGTTGGCATAATCAGTTTAGCCATATCAATTTAAACATGATGTGCAAAAATAAAAGAGAATTCACATGGGTAAATATTAAAGAACTAGAAACTTCTTTATGAATTCCCTTATGTTGCATGTTCTCATTAATTAATAGACCAATTAAAATTGGGATTGAATCCCATGAATGCTGGAAATATCAAAGGTGAATATGGGCCCATTCACCTGGCATGTATACCACATAAGATGCATCTATGAGATGGTTACATGTGCAATTATTATAGACCCGCAACCTGGTGTTTGCGAGGTAACTTGCTCAATAATTTAATATAGAGCATAATTTCCAGATTTTTTATTCAAGATAGTTCTTCTTGATAAGTTGGTTTATATCACAGTTGGTTTAGCAAAATAATTTATTGAGTGCCTCCACTTAATAGCTAAATTATTGCTTATGAGAACAAAGTTATCTATATCAGTTTGATATAGGTTATATACGAAAGTATATTACATTCTCCCCTCACAAGTGGTTTCAGGGTCAGGAAACAAATAATTCTATCTCATTATTATTGATGTCCAGTATATTTTGATTAACTCCATAACGCACAAAGATGGGTTCTCAAAGTTGAGGAAACAAGTTAGTTTTTCTAACATGAGGGGGAGACAAGATACAACAGTTGAGAAAAAGTTACATGGAATGAATTATCATTTATACATCTAGATCCTCGAATGAAATAATATGAACTTGAAGTTCATAAAAGGATAATTCATGTGCAATTTATTGCAAAGCATGCCAGACACATTTGCTGGCCCAAAGAAAGTAACTATATTCTCATTGCAAATGCTCCTATTAGAATAAGTCCTAGAAGGACAAAGTCTATAGTACGCTTAAAGCATATAGACAAAATCGGTTTCAAATAAACTTCTTGATAAAGAAGATGAGCAAATTGTCACGACCCCAACCCCGGTCGTGATGGCGCCCAACACATTGCTAGGCAAGCCCGACCAATCCAATAACCTTAACCATTTATACAACTGATGAATTTATTTAACACAGTTAAATTAATAAGATAATACTGAATATCTGAAATAAAGTTCGAACATGCGAAAAACCCAAGTAAAAATACTACTACACAGCCCGAAGAATCCGGTGTCACAAGTCTGAGCCTCTAATATACGAGTGTCAACCTACTACATAATAGTCTGAGGAAATGCGGAATAAAATAAACAGGACAGATGGGAAGATCAGGACTGCGGACGTCATGCAGCTACCTTGATGCTCCCGGATATGATGCTCGACAGAGAAAATCTCACTCAGCCTCCGTGGGTGCACCTGAATCTGCACACGAGGTGCAGGGAGTAAAGTGAGTACTTCCAACTCAGTGAATAATAAACATTAATAAAGGCTGAGAATAAGAAATCCTGAATAGGCACAAAGTAATTCTATAAATACAGCAACTTGAACCCAGCAGTATGAAATCCAGTAAAACAGTGATAACAATTACAGAAATATCATAGCAGATAAGTAAATAAATGACAATTAATAATATGCAATGCAACACATAGACCGGTACTCTCCAGTACCCGCTGTGGCGTGCAGCCCGCTCCATTTATTTATCGTCGACGGCGCTCACTGGGGGTGTGCAGACTCCGAGAGGGGCCCCTTACGGCCCAAGCGCAATAATAAGCCATCCCGTGGCATCAACTAGGCTCTCGGCCTCATATCAATATCAGTATCATACCGTTGCGGCGTGCAACCCAATCCCATGCTCAGTCCAAAATCACATAAACCCGTCGGGCACAATAATATAGAAATATTCAGCCCAAACTTCATTTAAAAATATTAATTAAGTTTCAAGTTTAAGAAAAAGTGGCTGAGTTTGCAAAACGGTATTAAATACCAGGACTGAGTTCAATGATATGTAAAAATGGTAAGAAACCAGTAATAATAATCCCTGAAGGATTTAATCAATTGGCACGAAGCCCAAACATAGCAATTAGCTCAATTAAAATGATAATAAGTGAACTTCAGTCAAATATGCAGTATATTCATCTACCGGGACGGACCAAGTCACAATCCCCAACGGTGCTCTACCCCAAGCTCGCTACCCGGCGTGCAAGTCACCTCAATATAGCACTACGATGTGCAAACACGGGGTTTCAAACCCTCAGAACGGCATTTACATCTATTACTCACCTCAAGCCGGCCAAAGTCCTAGCTCGCTATGCCCTTGCCTTTCGAATTGACCTCCTCGTGTACCGAATTTGATCAAAACCACAACGAATACATCACAATATGCTAATGGGACAATACCCAATCGAAAACAATCAAAAAATAGCTAAAATCTCGAAATTAGCAAAAACCCGAGCCCCGGGCCCACTTCTCGAAAATCAGAAAATTTACCATCAACGGATTCCTTATCTCGCCACGAGTCTATACATATAAAGAACACCAAAATCGGAGTCCAAATGACCCCTCAAATCCCCATTTTAACTCTCTTAAGTTTCAAGCCCTAATCACCATTTTTGACCCTTGATTCCTTAATTTTTCAGTCTTAATTCATGTAATTGTACCATAAAATCGTGTTTTAGACTCAGAAATCCTTACCTCAATGAAGTTCCTTGATTTCTCCCTTCCAACTCGCCCAAATTCTCCAAGTCCGAAGTGAAAATTATGAAACCCTTTGAAATTTCGCGAATGAGAAATAAAACTTCACTGACCAGTTATTTCCGCATCTGCGGCTCCTTAGCCGCATCTGCGACTTCCGCTTTTGCGGTTACAAGTCGCTTCTGCGGACTAAACCGCTTCTGCGGTGACAAGACCGCTTTTGCGGTTCCGCATCTGCGATTCCATTTACGCAGATGCGGTTTCCCTTAGTCTTCCAAAATTTCGCATCTGCGGTCCCATTGTCGCATCTGCGACTCCGCAGATGCGGTCAGCCACTCCGCACCTGCGATACCTGCCGCTTCTGCGGCTCATAACTCGCTTCTGCAGTACCGCTTCTGCGGTCCCCTTTCTGCAGAAGCGAAAATACCAGAAGCAGCACAATTTCTGCAACATTACAAGTCCAAAACTCCCCGTTAGCCACCCGAAAACACCCCGAGGCCCCCGGGACCTCAACTGAAAATACAAACATGATCCAACACCTTATTCAAACTTGCTCGAATCATCAAAACACCACAAATAACACCTAAACCATCAAATTACATCAAATTCAACCTAAGTTCATCCAAATCTTCCGAAACTTGCATTCGATCAAAAACCCGACCAAAACACCTCCGAATCAACTAAAATTTTGCACACACATCCCAAATCACCTAACGAAGCTACTTCAACTCTCGGAATTCCATTCCGACCCTCGGATCAAATTCTCACCTATCAACCGGAATTCGCCAAAATACTAACTTCGCCAATTCAAGCCTAATTCTACACTGGACCTCCAAAATTACTTCCGATCACATTCCTAAGTCATAAATCATCCCCCGAAGCTAACCGAATCATCGGAATTCATATCCGAGCCCACTAACACGTAAGTCAATGTCCGGTTGACTTTTTCAAAATAAACCTTCCTTAAAGAGACTAAGTGTCTCATTTCCTACTAAAATCAATCCAAATCAACTCGTTCACACCCAACACTGATAATGAAGCATAAATCAGCAGAAAATGGGGGAAACGGGACGGTAACACACGTGATGACGGGTTGGGTCGTCACATAAAATGATCAAAATGATCATAATAAAGGAGGCAAGTGATCTAGAAGATCACATGACATAACATTTCATTAAATCTCATGAGAGATTCAAGTACCTGAATATATGAATGAAGAGATCTCTATGTTACGTCTTTATGAAAAATAAGGAGGTTGGAACCAATATAAAATGTTTGTCGACGACATCTATGATAGCGCTAAATATATATGAGGATCTTAAGTCGGAAAAAACAATTTCGAATAAAATTGGTTTCACGTGAAAGACATGTAGTTTTGAACATGTAATTCAAACACTTGAAAGTATAAAGCCAATGGTATGTGCAATCAATTTTCGATATCTTATATGTCTAGCATGACATGAAAACTTGATATGCATCTAAAGTCTATTATATGGCTTATATGACTTAAAAATCCTTGAAGGATTTAAATTGCTTAAAGCATATAGAATTCATGGTCATGAAGTACTATATCCTAAATGCAATTTGTGCACAAATGTATCTTGCTATAACTATATGCATGATAATATGATAGCAAGAGTTTTCACCTCTATGTGAAGATATTGAACTGACGATTCCAACAAGATCATATGAAGACAATCCATCTCTATCAAGAATGATGATTTCAAGGTGCAATATATTCATTCAAGTTAATATGGCTGATTTGTTTATCAAATATCTACCAAAGATCTTTTGAAGATGGTGCACAAGATTCGAATGCAAATACTTAAGGATGTGAATTGATGCTCTCGATCGGGGGGGGGGGGGGGGAGTTAATATGCGTTGTACTCTTTTTCTCTTACAAGGTTTTGTCCCACCGGGTTTTCCTTGCAAGGTTTTTAACGAGGCAACCAAAAGGCGTATTTTTAGATATGTGTACTCCTTTTCCTTTTCTTGAATTTTTTTCCCACTGGGTTTTATTTTAGTTAAGGTCTTAACGAGGCACATTATCTGTTGAATAGACATTCAAGGGGGAGTGTTATAAATAGAATTGTATTTATGTGAATGTCTATATTTAGAGAGATTTTAGGGTTTATTACTTGGTGGCTAAGTCACTCTCTCCCTATAAATAGAGGGTTCTATTCTATTGTAATTCATCCCAAATCAATAAGAATTCTCCCTCTCTACTTTTCTCTGCAATACTATTCTTCTTGTTTAATTATTTCATAACAGAAACATTTAAGTTGTATTTATACATAACCGCATCGCAAGTATATTCCGCGAGCGGGGTGATTACTTTCACTGTTCTCATGGGAGCGGGCCATTCGCCTCGGCAGGTTGATAATTGTATATATATGGTTCGGGCCGTTCGACCCTCGGCAGTGCACATTTTACTTTTATGTTGGATCGGGCTGAACGTCCTCGGTGGTATTTGTGTGTGATAATGGAACCGGAACCTCTTATAATTCGTATGATTCATTGCTTGAAAGGCCACTTGTTTTAAATGAAGGAAATGCCTAGATTTATTGATTCGATGAGAGGATTTTTAGTATTATTCTTGTTTGCACTTGTTGCTATCTACGTACATTGTGTATTAAAATATTGGACTTCACATTATTATATCTATTGACCCTAGTAAGTGTCAAGTCGACCCCTTGTCACTACTTCTTCGAGGTTAGACTGGATACTTACTGGGTGCATATTGTTTATGTACTCATACTACGCTTCTACACTTGATTGTGCAGGCTTTGAGGCAGGTGCATCTGGCCATCAGTCCGGCGCGTTGAGTGGACTCTTTGGCTTGAGACTTCCGGTGAGCTGCCCTTCTGAGCCGTTCTGCAGCTTCTGGAGTCTTTCTATGTCTTCACTTTTCCTGTCTATTTCCTTTCCAGACAGTAGGATAGTATGATTTTGTATATTCTACTAGATTGCCCTATACTTGTGACACCAGGTCTTGGCACACACATTGGTAGACTTGTGATTTTGGATTTCTATCATGATTTAAATTTCGTAACTATTATCTTCATCAAGTTATGCTTTAAGTCTCAAACTCCTAGTTCTTTACTAATAAGGAAGGGTTTTCACGTATTAATTATTTTAATGAGAATTCACTGGTCGATTAGTGTTGTCTTGCCTAACAACGGTGTTGGCGCCATCGCGGCCTAATGTGAAATTTGGGTCGTGACACATGTAATAACCACATATACTAATCTCTTCTCATGCTCCCCAGAAGAATTTGTCAAATTAGTAACACAATACAGAGTCTTCAAGACACCAGCTTCTCATCCTAGTGCAGATATTAGCATGAATTACTTCTGATCTTAGGCATTTATATCGGGAAAAATGACCAATGGACTTACATGTTGGGACGATATCATGTGATAACCGTGATATTAGCATATTAACGCTAATAATCCAGAAAATCAAGCTCAAATAATCTTGATTTAAGAACTACATTCATTGCTTGAAGTGTATCACATATGACGCCAATCTGACAGTGTACGCTATCAGCAACAAGAAATTCATGAACAGAACCATCTATTTCACTAAAAGAACATCCAGGTTGCTTCTGGATTCCCTCAGCACCCATATTCCTCCTTACCATTCTCACATCCTTCCACCTAGATGCAGAGGCATAAGCATTAGACAGCAGTACATGTGCCCCACATTTCTCTGGCTCTAATTCACTAATCTTTTTGGCAGCAACTTCCGCCAACTCTACATTTCCGTGTCTACTACAAGCGAAAAGCAAGGATCGCCAAATGACAGCATCTGGCTGAATGGGCATGGAACCGATGAACTCCATAGCCTCAACCAGAAGATTTGCACGGCCCAAAAGATCAACCAGGCATCCATAGTGCTCAACCCCGGGGGGCAATTTGTATTGCCCGGTCATCTTCTCAAAGTAGTAAAAGCCTTCACCAACACACCCACCATGACTACAGGCAGATAAGATCCCAAGAAATGTTACGCCATTTGGCCTTACTCCACTTGATCCTTCCATTAGTGAAAATAATTGCAAAGCCTCATCGGATCTTGCATTCATAGCTAGCCCAGAAATCATCATACTCCACGAATAAACATCCTTATTAGTTAACAAATGAAAAACTTCAAGAGCCTTATCAACTAATCCACATTTAGAGTACATATCAATCAAAGAATTCTTCACTACAAGGTTCATTTCAATACCACTCTTTTCACAATAATTATGCACCCACCTTCCCAAATCTAGTGCACCCGAATGCCCACATGCAGAAGCAACACAAGCAATTGTGGCAGGTTCGGCATTAACCCCAGCCATCTGCATCTCCCTAAATAATTCTATTGCTTCCTTAAACATATCCGACTGCAAATAACCTGCAATCATAGAAGTCCAACAGACTGCATTTTTATCTAATAATCTATCAAAAACCTTCCTAGCATCCTCTAACTGCCCACATTTTGTGTACATGTCAATTAAAGAAGAACCCAGAAACACATCAATCACAAGCCCATAAACAACAATCAACCCATGAATCTTCTTCCCCAAATCAAGCAACCCAGTTCTTGCACACGCAGTAAGAGCACTCACGATACTTACATCATTCAACCTCACACCACTTTCGTGCAACATTTTTCCAAACGTTTTCACTGCTTGATGACAAAATCCACATTGTAAATACCCAGAAATCATACTATTCCAAGTGACAACGTCTCGACCTGAGTCGGGCATAAAATCAAACACCTTCTGTGCAAACTCAACAACCCCGCATTGGAAATACATATAAACCAATGCATTTTGCACAAATACATCAAATCCAAACCCCATTTTCAAACTCACACAATGAACTTCAACACCCTTGTGAAAATTATTTAATCTACCGCAAGCTTTGAGTACAAAAGGGAAAGTGAAATTATCAAGAATCATACTTTTCCGCATCATTTGATTGTAAAGACTAATGGCTTGTTCAGGGAATGAACTGTGTGAGTATGCACGGAGGAGGAAATTACAAGAATGGACATTGGGGTTAGGGATTTGGGAGAAAATGGTATGAGAAAAGGTGAGGGTAAAATCAGGATTTGAAAGACAATGGCTGAGGAGTTGGCTGGAAATGTATGGGTTAGCGAAGAAGCCTGAAGTGAAGGCATGAGAGAGGATTTGGGTGAAATGGTTGAAGTGTTTATGGGTTTGCAGTAGGGATAAAGAGAATGTGTGATAAGGTGATGATGTGTGAGATGTAAGAAGAAGAGAGATTAGGGTTTTGGGTTTTGGAGGTTTGAGTTTGGAGGGAAGCCTCAGTAGCATTTGGTTGCATAACTAACAGACAATGAGCGTGCAAAAAGAGTTTGCAGGGGGCTTCATTAAAGGGAAGTTTGGCATGAGTGGAATCTAGGAATTAAATAAATATTCAATATATTTCTATTCTTTTTTGTCCTAGGTTGAGTTTTACACTAGATATTCATCAAATAATCCAAATTAAGTTGATTACGTTCTTGGCTTTTTAGAGAATCCGCTCCTATGTTGTAGGACTGCTTTTGGGAAAATTTCCGCCAATGGCTAGATATTCAGCCGACTCCCTCTCTCTTTGCAGGGATCCCGACCCCTACGAGTGAGCAGAAAAGGGAGGAGGAAAGAGACCGTGGTGAATCGTCATAATTAGTGGACAATTGTAAGCTTCTTTATCCAACATTGACCGCACCGAGGGACAGCCCTAAAACAAAGGAATGTTGTTGAATACTATCTTTAATGCAAGTTGCATTAAAGTTATCTATTTAAAAATCCAAGTTAAGTTATAACCAATTGCGCGCATCCACCATTTGTTGAGTCATTTCACGCTCTTTTCAGAATCAACTACTATATAAATATTCTTTTTATCGTAACATCCATTACTTGTCACAAAAAAAAAAAAAGATAGAGGTGTATTCTTACTTTCAAATGCGAATGGAATGAAAAGTGAGACTCGGAAGCATTTAAATGGTAGACTTTAGGAGTATAAATTATATTCAAGCACTCATCAAAGTCTTTTTCCCGTTGTATCTAGCTTCATCATAAAATAAAAATATACTACTCCTATTACTTATCAGGAAATGGTCAATTATACTTTCATTTTGATATTTATCTAAAAGTTTGTTGTAGTTGAGACTTGAGAAGTCCTACAAACATGGGCACTAACACTACGATATAGCAACACAGGCTGCTGTAGTACTTTTTGCAATGATCGGTCTTTCATAGCAACTTAGACCATGTTAATACTGTTAGATATTGCTTGAGCAACATCAGGATTGCATTAACGCGCCATTAAAAGCATCAATGATAGGAATCATTGATTGCATAAAAGTTTTGATGTCCCTGACATATTGGAGTGATAACATTTGAATTTCTCGTACATTCTACGTTCACTATAATATATATATATATATATATATATATATATATATATATATATATATATATATATATATATATATATATATATATA